CCATCACGTAAGGCCAACAATAAAAAATGATTTGTGTGATGTACTCCGACCAACCCATCAAAATCGCCCCCCACCCAATCATTATTTTCAGCACTTTGAAGTTTTAATTAATTTAGTTTCATTAGAAATAGAGATTGTTTCATTTTAAGCTAAGGTATATAATTTCTCTTATATGCTTTTAGATTGAAAATTTTCATAGCAATAAATATTAAATCTGTCTAGTAACCCAGTTTGTATTGAAAACATCAATATTTCTGAGGTTTTTTTTAAATTATCAATTTGATCAATACTATTAAAGTGACAATACGGCGCATCTCTTCAAAAACAGACTTGTTAAAATCTTCCTATAGGATCTGGAATTTTTTCATACTCATAAATGTATACACTTTCAGAAAATTACAAGTTTCATAAGTAAATAATTCTGATCATATCATTAAAATTAATAAATATTTATGGTACATAAATATATACATGTACATCGCAACGAGTTCGAGCTTCCATATTCCATGCTATACACGCATGCGTAGTTTTCATAAACAAAACAGCATGGTAAGAGAGGGAAGTCCGGTAGGCCTGCTACGTACATTGACAAAGTCGACCAAAACGAAAAACGAAACCAAAAATAGGGATTGAAATTAAAAAGATTTCCTGACAAAAATTTAGTTGGGAGATTAATATAATCATTGGATGGAGAAGAAACTGGATGTCGGCGACATTCACGTGGGGCACGCGAAGGTTCTACCCTCTACAGGTTTTTTGATACATGCTATCATTTCTCGTATCTCCATGGCTTTCAAAGAAAAAAATAAGTGTAAACCCAACATAAAAATGCTTATGACATATAAAAACCAGAAGTCTCTGTCGAGACTGAAGCTCTACTGGTTTGTACTTATAGCAAAGGAAGAGGAAAGTACTTAATACGCAGTTGGGAATTGAAACCTTACACTAGCAAAAAAGAGAATAATGATCCTTGAATTAGTTTCTTTATGTTCTTAGTGTAGTCTACTTGCATGCCACATTATATTATAATCAGACTAAAACTGTATTTGAAGTAGCATTTTGAGAGTAACAGAAATTGCTATCTTTATTAACCAAGGTAAAGATGTTCATTGAAGTCAAAAACGGATATAAAGAACTATGTACTGTAGATCACTTATTTTTCGCGACACCTTATTTTCGCGAGATAGTCATCGTCTCTTTATAAGCGAGACAAAATTTTCACGAATTGTGGTCATTACTCTATATAATCTTACGGAATTCTATTATACGCGAGAATGAAATTTTCGCGAGCATACCTTCTCGCGTAATTACGCGAAAATAAAGTTCTCGCGAATAAAAAGTGATTTACAGTACCTTAGTGTAGTCTACTTGTGTGCCAAGTTACATTGAAATCAGACCAAAACTGTAGGAGGAGTAGCATTTTGAAAGAATTTCATAGAAATTTCTATTTTTAGTAACAACGCAAACATCGTTCGTCGAAATCAAAAACCGATATACAGAATTATGTATCTTAGTGTAGTCTACTTGTGTGCCAAGTTATATTGCATTCAGACCAAAACTGTAGGAGGTGTAGCATTTTGAAAGAATTTTACAGAAATTTCTATTTTTAGTAACAACGCCAACACCGATCGTCGAAATCAAAAATCGATACACAGAATTCTGTATTTTAGTGTAGTCTACTTGTGTGCCAAGTTATATTGAAATCAAACCAAAACTGTAGGAGGAGTAGCATTTTGAAAGAATTTCATAGAAATTTCTATTTTTAGTAACAACGCCAACACCGATCGTCGAAATCAGAAATCGATACACAGAATTATGTACCTTAGTGTAGTCTACTTGTGTGCCAAGTTATATTGAAATCAGACCTAAACTGTAGGAGGAGTAGCATTTTGAAAGAATTTCATAGAAATTTCTATTTTTAGTAACAACGCCAACATCGTTCGTCGAAATCAAAAACCGATACACAGAATTATGTATCTTAGTGTAGTCTACTTGTGTGCCAAGTTATATAGCATTCAGACCAAAACTGTAGGAGGAGTAGCATTTTGAAAGAATTTTACAGAAATTTCTATTTTTAGTAGCAACGCCAACACCGTTCGTCGAAATCAAAAACCGATACACAGAATTATGTATCTTAGTGTAGTCTACTTGTGTGCCAAGTTATATTTAAATCAAACCAAAACTGTAGGAGGAGTAGCATTTTGAAAGAATTTCATAGAAATTTCTATTTTTAGTAACAACGCCAACACCGATCGTCGAAATCAAAAACCGATATACAGAATTATGTACCTTAGTGTAGTCTACTTGTGTGCCAAGTATATTGAAATCAGACCTAAACTGTAGGAGGAGTAGCATTTTGAAAGAATTTCATAGAAATTTCTATTTTTAGTAACAACGCCAACATCGTTCGTCGAAATCAAAAACCGATACACAGAATTATGTATCTTAGTGTAGTCTACTTCTATGCCAAGTAATATTGAAATCAGATCAAAACTGTAGGAGGAGTAGCATTTTGAAAAATTGTTTACAGACAGACAGACAGACAGACGGACAGACGGACGGACGCCGGACGCATTACTATCGCATAAGCTCTTCTGGTCTCTGACCAGTAGAGCTAATTATTGTCATTTGAAGTGCAAATTGTATTGAAACTGCAGAAAGGTATTTTATTTGACATTTTGTCCGATGACGTATGATTTGGTGGATTTTCCTTTCCTGCACCCCAATATACAAAACGTCAACATTTGTACTTAATCATGTTAAATTCGTCTGAATGCAGACTAAAATGTTAACTGTTATTAATTTACCGGAGAGTTTTAATATTTTTATTCTGAGAATTGCTTTTACTCAATATTTCATTATAATTGTAAACCCTACATTGTATGCACGTGCCATTTTAGAATTCACGTGGTACAAGTAAACATATCTAAGTTGTACCACCCTTGATTTTCCGGCAGATTCTAATTGCGTTAATTTTGTATGAGGACAGAATATTTTTTTCTCAAACTGCTGACTTCAACTTTTTACCTTATTCCCTAATGATATATTGGGTAAATTTGAATGAACAAGCACACGATTTGCAGCTATATAGTCGCTTTAAGCCAAAAAAATACCTACCTACCCACCTTGAAAAATGTGGGTCGAGGTATATCCAACAACAATGTTTTTAATGATCGCCTAAAGACAAAAATCTAAACCGAATCGAGTCTAACCCCTGCGCCTCCTGATCGGCTGAAAAAAAAAAACTTTTGGAAAAGCATCCAAACTATAAAAAAAAAAAAAGGTGAACGATAAATTCAAATCAGATCGATTTTCATGTTGTTTTTTTTTTCTAATATTTTTACTTTTAAATAATGTATTCATATCTTCTTGAAATATTTTCCGAAGCATATCCAATTAATTTTAAAAAATGTAGCAAACAAAATTAAGATATGGCGCATATTTTTTGCCAATCCTTCTTTAAAATTTCAATCAGAGCAACATATAATATTCAATAATTCAACAATGTTTTATCCTGGATTGTTTATTTCAAAGGACTTCATAGAGTAAAGAAATGTATATCTTATTTTATGAGCATTCTTGGCTCATAAAATAAGATATTAAAATTAGGTTTAGCCAATTTTTGTGCAAGAAATATTTTAACAGAAACATACTGTACAGATTACATAAGGATATATCTTGTTTAATCCCATACTCGCTTAATTAGAATTTAATTTCCAATACATGTAATTCACTTCCAAATGACAAGATCTAACACTTTCATCAGGAAATTGTTATCAATATTTCAAAATATCTCAGACAATTAATTTTTTTTTTAGAAAATAAATCTCAAAATATAATGAAGTGTTCCTAAAACAGGAAATTATTCAAACAGTCTTGCAAAGGAAATATTTCACAGTTCTAAAACAACTAATCACCATAATAATTTGCAAGTAAAGTCAATTGCAGAAAATATCAACCAATATATGAATATATATTGTGAATTCGCTAATTTTCATGGGGTCAAATTTTCGTGGTTTGAGGAAAAACTCTTGGTTCATGGATATTTGATTTCGTGGATGGAGGATTGTTTAGTTGTTAAGTATGTAACAGTCATTTTGCATTTCGTGGTGGACATAAATTCGTCGGTCTCTTCATACCTCGAAAACAACGAAAATTAAACCCCCACGAAAATTAGTGATTTCACAGTATATGAATTAAATATAAATAATTACCAAATTAAATGTGTTGGAATAAGGAATTCAAACTTTGACATAAAATCATAATAAAATCAAATTTTGATGTGCTTTTATTATTTTTTTTAGGCACTGCTAAGGATGAATACATGTAAGAAACAGGTAAGGAGAATGTAAAGGGGCTTGGAAATTGTGTGAATTTTCATATAATATCAAACTAGCATGTTTCTAGTGTGTTTAAGTCCCAATGTTTAAAACTATGATTTTCTGGACGTGTTTGGCACACATCCTTGTACTTTTCAATTGCAAAGCATAATTTATTGCTTATATTATGAAAAGGTGGAAAATGAATATAATAAAAACTTTAATCCAGAAAAGTTATAATAGAATTGTTAGAAAAGAGACACACTGGTTGTCAGTTCGTCTTTAGTGACATTTGTCGTGTCAACAACTTGAACACATATGGTAAAGCACAAACAATAGTTAACAGTAATAGAGCTCATGTCAATTTAAAACAGAAGTTTAACCTTATATTATGTTATTGAATTTTTGCATGTAAATACAATTCCTTACACTCACTTATTTTCATGTAAAATAAAATTAAAAATGGAAACAAACGGACGATGAAAATCTGTCCATCCCTTATTAGCTCATGCTGTGCAAATTAAATCACTTTTGAGCATTTTTAAACCAAAGACGTAAGGCAGCTGTAGTGATTCTGAAATTCACCTTGGTTTTTTCAATTTATTTCCCCGAGATTTGAATTAATTGTTATGATATTAAGTAACTCCAAACAGTCTCTACGAGGAGACTGCTAGTTGCGATTGAACGTCATCCGAAGATAAATGATCATTATAGCGAAGCTTCATTTTCCCGAAAAGAAAAATCGCGAAGTATAGTATTGAAAAAAATAGTGAGATACTAAAAAATATGAAAATACCAGTTTTAAGGCCTGAAATGTATTTAAAATGCTTATTTGACGTAAAGTAATTACTAGTGCATATAGAACGACTAGACTGAGGGTTCCTCTCGCTTGATGTGTATTACCGCCAATTCTCTTGGTGGTGAGGTGATATGTGGTAGTTTCGATTCCATTATCTGGTGCTTGGGTAGTTTCTTGGATTCCTTTTGCCGGGGAAACTGTTGATGCCTTATCTGAATTATAAATTTTGATTTTTCGAGTTTTTCTTAATGTTTTATTTTTCGTTTTGAAAATGAAATGTAAAACACTTTTTTGACATTATTAAATATGTTGAATTCTTACCTAGTTGACATTTGCTGCCTTTACATGTGCATCCAGTAGCAGGGTCACATGTCATGGGTGGTTCACAAGCACATCGATTCCCACAAAATCTGCCATACCATCCAGAGAGACATTTCACTCCACACTTTTCTCCCATCGAGCCTGATGGACATTCTAAGCATCATATTAAAAATAAATTTATAGTTCATTTGTGAATGACGAATAATAGTAGTTATCATTCAAATTTAAAATAAAACTTCTTGAAAGGACGTTAAACAAACAAACAAACAGACAGACCTTCACACTCGTTTCCATTTAGCCTGTAGTTAGGACAGCAGTGTACTTTATCAGTTGTTCTATTAGATACAATTATAAAATTATTTTGTTTTGAGTTGTTTTGGAAATAGATTTTTAATCGAAAATAGTAAAATATGTATTTTTACAGTTTAAAAAGATTTATTTTTTTAATGCCGTACCCATTTTGTGGACATTCACCAGCACTGATAGCCCTTGCTTGTAATTTTCCGAACAAAAAGTGGTGTAGAACAAGTGTAAAGATAATATGTATGAACGTTGCCATAATCTATGTACATGTACATCCGTTAGAAAAACTTTTAGATCTAGGCATTAATTGCGTATGAATCTGGCATATCCATGCATCCATAATCAAAATTAACGGAGCATTTTCACCAGATATACAACTGATGCTATAAGTTACAAGGAAGTCTATTGAAGTAATAAGTTCAAGTGAACTTTTTCTATATTTTCCGGATATTGCCTATATCAAGCATTTATCCAAGCCTTTGATGTGATACTACTTAAATGTAGATATATTAATTCTAGCATCATTTTTTAAAAGAATTATTCGAGTGTCATCAAAACCATAGATTCAATGTAGAAGCACAATAGTTTTTAAAAAGGTGTATTCAACATTTTACCCAAAGAAAACAATTACCAACAGCAAAACTGGTGTAAAGCATCAAATCAGCCGCAAACAAATTTTTGCATTTCAAAAAGCAATTTCACAATTTTACAAGAGAGGCCTACATCTTCAATTTTGATCACTATCACACTTCGGCATTCTTTTTAGGATACACAGCATTAATCGAACATATGTTGTTTTACGTCCCATTTGAAAATTTGTCACACTATACAGTATAAAATGTAAAATATTTCAAATTAAGAATACTACATGGCACTTAGACCGTATGGAATTGAGATGCTGATACTTTTTTTTCGAAAAATAATATACACGGTTCTTTTTGATCAAACGACGGTTTATGAAGGTTTCAAAACGGTTTCATTAAGGTACGCGGTTTCCCCACTGCGGAAACAATCACGAATAAACGCGGTGCTTTGTTTTGAAATCGTTCAATGTAACAATCAGACCAAGGACGACCAAGACATTCATACGGTCAACTTACATTTTTCACGGAGTACGTATATGTACGGACATACGAACAATAACGATGACTTTCCTGAGATCACTCTACACGCATTGCAAGGATTCGGGAAAATCACGTGATCAGAACGCATCAGCATCAAGACATTTTTAAAGGTAGTACTAAAGATACATGCTCATTAGCAATACCCCAGCTCTGATGCGAATGTACACAGTCATGTTGATACACAAGTTCAGTTACAGGCAGATGTATGGATAAATAGGATGTGTTACAACGCAACCTGGATTAAACCTGGATTATTACATTTTGCGTCGAAATCAACGCAGAATGTAATAACGCAAAATGTAACAACACACTTTTGAGGATTATTACATTTCGCGTTATTACATTTTGCGTCGAGATCAACGCAAAATGTAATAACATGATTTTTGGATTATACATTTTGCGTCAAGATTTAGCAAAAGGCAAGAACGTAAAATGTAATAACACACTTTTTAGTCAGCCAGATTGAGTATGATTTTCAACAGAGTAGTGGCCGATGAAAAGAGAATAAAACAAAAGGGAAAAAAAGAGGTATATGCAATTTCTTACAATTAATGAATTTTATGATATATTGATTTAATTAACTTGTTGGGGGAGGGGGGAATTGACCAGTGTGCTTTTGCTTTTTTTTTTATAGCCAAATGGAATACTGTCCTACCCTTGTTGTGGACATTCACCAGCTGGGATAGTCCTTGCATGTAATTTTCCGAACAAAAAAGATGAATATATTATGGCAACGTTCATACAGGTTATCTTTACAGTTGTTCTTTTAGAAGGCTGAAAGGCAGAATGTTGTCCTTAATTGTCATAAATTGATCATTTACCTTACTTCATTAAAACAGAGAAAAAATATTCGAACTACCGAGAATTAGGTCGCCGTCGTTAACCCTACACCATTTTTTCCATGCAATTTTCATGCATTACCTTAATTTTTCCGCACTTGTCATCTGTTGCACTCTATCTTAGAGCAACGTTTAAAAATATAACTGCTTTTGGTCATCCTCACAATATTTGAGGGACTGTTGAGCGTCCGTCTCGAGAGATCAGCTCCATTTTCAAATTCGATTAGCCTCTTAGTTCAATCGGGTCA